AAAAGAGAAAGAAAAAAAGGAAAGAAAATTAGTTAAATGAATTTTGGTAAGTTTTGATTTCAATCTCAGCTGAAAGAAAAAGAAAAAAAAGGAAAATTAGTTAAATATAATTTGATGAATTTTTGTTAATTTCTCAGCTGAAGAGAGAAAGAAGAAAGAGGAAAATTAGTTATATATTTTTGTAAATTTTGATTAACTGGTAGGATAGCTTAATGATGTATTAATGATTAATTGGTAATTAACGAAAAAAAAAGATGAAACAAAAACAAAAACAGGAATCACGCCAGGAAATAAAAAAAAAGAGAACAAGAAAAACAACAAAACAAAGACAAACGTAACAAAAACAACTAATACATTCTTCCAAACAACCGCAAACTGCTCGTCTCACTGTAATGAACATTCCATTCCCATTCCTACTTTCCCCTCCCCCTCCCTCCTCCTCCTCCTCCCTCCCTACCTCATGCACCACCTCCACCTCCGTCCTCTTTCATCCCTCCTACCTCCTCCTTCTTCTCCCCTCCTCCCCATCCACCATTCTCCCATTCACCTCCTCCACCCCCTCTCTCCTTAATCCCCTCTCAAACCCCTCCCTCCCATCTACCATCCTCCCTTCCCCCTTCTCCCCTCTTCCCCTTCCACCATCCTTCCCCTTCCCCCTCTTCTCCCTCCTCCTACCTACCTCCTCCACCGCCTCCTTCTCCTTCTACCCTCCTCTCCTTCCTCCACCACGCTCCACTTTTTCCACCCTTCACACGCTTCTAGAAGGATCGAGAGGGAAGGATGTCACCCGCCCCCCCTCCACCAATCCTTAGTGGAGAGGGAAGGAGGATTCGCAGGATGCGGGGAAGGATGTCTTTAAGGGTGTTGAAGGAGTCGCTTTGTGGGTACTTGACCGAATTCTTGTCTATTAATTAATTTTATCTATCCACTTTTTCTTATAATGTTTGTCTGTCTGTCTGTCTGTCTGTCTCTCTCTCTCTCTCTCTCACTCTCTCACACGCTCTCCTCTCTCTCTCACTCTCTCTCACTCCCACTCCTCGCCTCTCTCCCTCTTCCCTCCCTCTCCCTCTCCCTCCCTCTCCCTCCTCTCTCTCCCTCCTCCCTCCCTCTCCCCTCCCTCCCCTCCCTCTCTCTTCTCTCAATCTCGACGACAAATCCCACTCGTCCTCTCTCCCGAAATAAAATGACGAGACGACCGCGAAAGAATAGGCGATTCCCGCTCGCCGGCTCGTAATTTCGCCGCCAAAATCCCCGTTGCCGATTCGCGAGTTGGCGATTGGCGGACGCGTCGGGCCTCCTCCTCCGCCGCCCTCGTCTCGTCGGGTGTTCGCGTGACCTTCGTATAAAATGGGGTCGTTCGTTATTATCCACTCTCTTCGTCTTCTTTGCTCCTCCTCCTCTTCTCTCTCTCTTCTTGTCTCCCTTCTTCTTCTTCTTCGTCTTCTGTTTCGTTTTCTTCTTTTTCTCTCTACTTCTTCTTTTTTTTTTCTTCTTTCTCCTTCTTTTCTTTCTCTCCTTCGCTTTTTGTTCTTCTGTACTACGTTATCTTTTCTCATTCATTATTTTCTTTCTTTCTCTAAATTCCCCTCCTCTCATCTTTCCATTTATTTCACCTCTGTAACTTCTTCTCCTCCCTCCCCTCTCCCTTTTTATTTCCATTTTTTTACTTCTTCTCCTCCCTTTCTCCCCCCCTTCAAGTGACCCCCTTGCCTATTCCTTAGAAAGTAGGCACAGACAGAGAAAAAAAAAGAAAGACAAACAGACCAAAGGAAAGGAAAGAAAGAATGAGGGAGTGGAGGAGGGAAGAGGAGGTGAGGAAGGGAGGGGGGAGGAGGGCAGGGCGAAGGTCCAGCTAATGAATGGACCGTCGGCATTGCAATTAAATCCCTCCACAGAAAAACAGAAACAAAGAACAGAAACAAAACAAAAGTTATCCCGCAAGCCTTAAGAGGATACCAAAGGGAAGGGGGGGGGGGGGGTGGGGGGTGGGAGGGGAGGAAGGGCGGACTAGAGTAATGGGGAGGGAAAAGGGAGAGGGAGGGAAGAGGGAGGGAGGGAGGGAGGGAGGGAGAGGGAGGGGAGGAGGAGGAGAGAGAGAGAGAGAGAGAGAGAGAGAGAGAGAGAGAGAGAGAGAGAGAGAGAGAGAGAGAGAGAGAGAGAGAGAGAGAGAGAGAGAGAGAGAGATGAGAGAAATAGAGAGAGAAGAGAGAGAGAGAGAGAAAGCGAGAAAAGAGAGAGAGAGAGAAGCGAGAAAAGAGGAGAAAAAAGAGAAAAAAAAAAGAAAGAAAGAAAGACAGAATCCGAACAGTGCCACCCCGCCCCCCCCTATTTAGCGCCTGCGCACGGATATTACGTCTTCCCGGCGGACCTCCTTTCGGCAGAGGGCGCACGTAACTTTCTGCCTGGCCCTCGAAAAGGTCACTGGGCGCGGACACTCGGCGGGTGCCAAACGCCTCGATGAGTGCCACGCTTCGGCGACGCGGCAATCAGCTGAGCCAGGACCCCCTCCCCTCCCCTCCCCCTCTCCTCCCTACCCCAACCCCCTATCCAGCTGAGCCAAAGAGACCTCCTCCGACTCCTTGTTGAGGTTGGAGACAGAGAAGATAATAATAGATAAAATAATAATAATAATAATAATAATAATAATAATAATAATAATAATAATTAATAATAATAATAATAATAATAATAATAATAATAATAATAATAATAATAATAATAATAATAATAATCAACACTAATATTAACAGTAATAAAAAAAAACAAAAAAAAACTCCACGACGCCACGAATAATACGAGCACGAAATGGCGTGAGAAAAAAAAGGAAGATTCGAGCGAGCATTAGGACAAGCCCCCCCCCCTCACGACTCGACCTACATCCGAGAGCTTAGGTCATGCAGGGCGGGCAGGCAGGCAGGCAGGCAGGACCCCCTCCCCCCCTTCACTTACTCCCCTACTCCTCCCCTCTTCCTGAACTCCAAAGGACTCCAAAGGTCCGATTTGCTTTCGTCTGTTCGTGTGATGTGTATTTTCGTCTGGTTTGTCTGTAGTTCTTCTGCTTTTGTCTGTCTTTTATTTCTGTCTAAGTCTGTGTGCCTGTCAGCTTCTCTTGTCTCTTCACCTCCCTCCCTCTTTCCATCTCCCACTCTCTCTCCCTCCCTTTTCTCTCTCTTACTCCCTTTTCTATCTCTCTCCCTCCATTCCTCTCTCCCATCTCCTCCATTCACCTCCCTCCTTCTTTCTCCATTTTCCTCCTCCCCCTCCCTCCATCCTCCTACCCCCCCTCTTCCTCCCTCCCTCCTCCAACCTTCCTCCCCTCCTCTCCCTCCCCATCATCAAACCCCCGATCTCCTGACGGCGTCGTGGGTCCTCTCCGTCAGGCTCTCTCTCTCTCAATCTTCTTTGCAGCGGAAGGACTCGCGCAGAACATCCTGCAGGATTTCGCTAAACCCTTCCTTCCGGGCCTTCGGGACTCTTGCTGCCGCTGCCTTGGCCACGCGACGGCGGAGCGAGGAGGGTGTGTGCGTGTGTGTGTTGTGTGTGTGTGTGTGTGTGTGTGTGTGTGTGTGTGTGTGTGTGTGTGTGTGTGTGTGTGTGTGTGTGTGTGTGTGTGTGTGTGTGCGTGTGTGTGCGTGTGTGTGTGTGTGCATGTGCGTGTGTGTGTGTGTGTGAGAGAGAGAGAGAGAGAGAGAGAGAGAGAGAGAGAGAGAGAGAGAGAGAGAGAGAGAGAGAGAGAGAGAGAGAGAGAGAGAGAGAGAGAGAGAGTCAATGAATGAGTGGGTGAATAGATGGATGGATTGAATTAATAAATTAATGAGTGAGTGAGTAACTGTACAGACACATCCTTAATTACCACATACCCACTCGCACCCGCCTAGCAAATACCTCAACACCCACGCACATCCAACTTACACCCCGCAACATACCCACACACAACAAAGCACACCGAAAAGTCGAGCTAACCTCCCCCTCCCCCTCCCCCCAAAAAAGCCCCCAGATGAAAGCAACCCCCTCCCTCCATTCCCCCTCGCCCCCCCCCTCCAAAAAAACCCCAGGGTGAAGACAAACCCCACCTCCCTCCCCTTCCCCTCAACCTCCCCCCAAAAGAAAAGCCCCAGGGTGAAGACAACCCCCCCTTCCCCCTTCCCCACTCCCCCCTCCCTCCCTCCCTCAGCCCCATCCTTTTCTGGGATTGAATATTATCTTCGGACTCTTAACAGGATTAAGCACGCCTTCGTCA